AGAATTAGTTATAGGTCTTTACTAAATATTTGATAACATTCAGCAGTGAAGCCATCTGGTCCAGGGGTTTTGTTCTTAGGTAGCTTTTTGATTACCAATTCAGTTTTGTTGCTGATAATTGGTCTTTTCAGATTTTCTATTTCTTTCTGTGTCAGCCTTGGAAGGTTATATTTTTCTAGAAAGTTGTCCATTTTTTCTAGGTTTTCCAGTTTGTTAGCATGTAATTTTTCATAGTATTCTCACCAATTCTTTGTATTTCTGTGTGTCTGTAGTGATTTTTCCTTTCTTATTTTTGATTCTGTTTATGTGTGTACTCTTTTTCTTTCTTGATAAGTATGGCTAGAGGTTTATCTATTTTGTTTATTTTCTCGATGAACCAGCTCTTGCTTTCACTGATTCTTTCTCTTGCTGTATTCTTCTTGATTTTATTTATTTATGCTCTAATGTTTATTATGTCCCTCCTCCTGCTGACTTCGAGCCTCATTTGTTGTTGTTTTCCTAGGAGTTTAGACTGCTCATATGGGATTGTTCTTTTTTCCTGAGGTAGGCCTGTATTGCAGTGTACTTCCCTCTTAGCACGGCCCTTGCTGCATCCCACAGATTTTGTGGTGTTGAATTATTGTTGTCATCTGTCTCCATCTATTGCTTGATGTCTGTTTTTATTTCGTCATTGATCGATTGGATATTTAGGAGCAAGTTGTCAAGCTTCCATGTGTTTGTGGGCTTTTTCATTTTCTTTGTGTAATTTATTTCTAGTTTCATACCTTTGTGGTCTGAGAGACTGGTTGGTATAATTTCAATATTTTTGAATTTACTGAGGCTCTTTTTGTGGCCTGGTATATGATCTATTCTTGAAAATGTTCCATGTGTACTTGAGAATGTGTATCCTGCTGCTTTTGTGTGTAGAGTTCTGTAGATGTCTGTTATGTCCATCTGTTCTAATGTAGTGTTCAGTGCCTCTGTCTCCTCACTTATTTTCTGTCTGGTTGATCTGTCCTTTGGAGTGAGTAGAGAGTTGAAGTCTCCTAGAATGAATGCATTGCATTCTGTTTCCCCTTTTAATTCTATTAGTATTTGTTTCACATATGTAGGTGCTCCTGTGTTGGGTGTATAGAAATTTATAATGGTTATATCCTCTTGTTGGATTGACCCCTTTATCATTATATAATGTCCTTCTTTTTCTTTTGTGACTTTCTTTTTTTAAAGTCTATTTTATCTGATACAAATACTACAACACTTGCTTTCTCTCCCTATTAGTTGCATGAAATGTCTTTTTCCATCCCTTCACTTTTAGTCTGTGTATGTCTTTGGGTTTATGTGAGTGTCTTGTAGGCAGCATATAGTTGGGTCTTGTTTTTTTATCTCTGTGTCTTTTGATTGGTGTATTCAAATCATTTACATTTGGGGTGATTATCAATAGTTATGTACTTTTTGCCATTGCACGCTTTAGATTCGTGGTTGCCAAAGGTTCAAGGGTAACTTCCTTACTATCTAACAGTCTAACTTAACTCACTTAGTATGCTGTTACAAACACAATCTAAAGGTTCTTTTTTTTCCCCCTCCTTTTCTTTCTCCTCCATTCTTTATATTTTAGGTATCATATTCTGTACTTTTTGTCTATCCCTTGTTATTACCTCTGGTGACAGCTATTTAACCTTAGGAACACTTCCATGTAGAGCAGTCCCAGCTTTTGCTTATCTGGAAATTGTTTAATCCCTCCTTCAAATTTAAATAATAATCTTGCTGGGTATAGTATTCTTGGTTTGAGGCCCTTCTGCTTCATTGATTAAATACATCATGCCACTCCCTTCTGGCCTGTGAGGTTTCTGTTGAGAAGTCTCATAGCCTGATGGGTTTTCCTTTGAATGTGATCTTTTTTCTCTGTTTGACTGGTTTTAATAGTCTGTCCTTATCGTTGATCTTTGCCATTTTAATTATTATATGTCTTGGTGTTGTTTTCCTTGGGTCCCTTGTGTTGGGAGATCTGTACACCTCCATGACTTGAGAGACTATCTCCTTCCGCAGATTGGGGAAGTTTTCAGCAATTGCCTCCTCATAGACACTTTCCATCCCTTTTTCTCTCTCTTCTTCTTCTGGTACCCCTATAATACGAATATTGTTCTGTTTGGATTGGTTACCCAGTTCTCTCAGTATTCTTTCATTCCTAGAAATCCTTTTTCTCTCTGTGCCTCAGCTTCTTCGTATTCCTTTTCATTAATTTCTATTTCATTTATCTCCTCCATCATATCTAATCTGCTTTTAATACCCTCCATTGTGTTCCTCAGCGATTCTATCTTAGTTCTAAATTCATTCCTGAATTCTTGAGTATTTTTCTGTACCTCCAGGAGCATGTTTATGATTTTTATTTTGTAATCTCTTTCAGGAAGATTGATTAGTTCTGTTTCACTTGAGCTTTTTTTGGGTGTTGTTGAGATTTTGCTTTGAAACAGGTTTCCTTGACATTTCATATTTGTATGTGGCGCCCTGTAGTGCCCAGAAGCTCTACTCTCTGGAGCTGCTTAGCCTCTGGAGCAATGTCGGTGGTTGCAGGGGAGTGGTACTGGTGCCTGGGGGAGGAAAGCGCTGTTTCCTGCTTCCTGTCTGCTATGCCTGTCTCCACTACCAAAACCAGTGGGCCAAATACACAGGTGTAAGCCTCTATGCTTTGCATTTGTAGCTGCTGTTTGCAGTGCTCCTGTCTGGGTGGCCTGATGCCAGGGCAGGGTTTGCCAGCTACGTACGTGCAGGTTGGCCCGGAGGAAGGCACAGTAGTCTGCGTATCATGGTGGGGGCCTTGGATCTGCATATCCAGCCAGTGGAATTGAGTGCCTGAGTTCACAACCCTGTTCTGTGAGGTCTGTTCTTTCCTCCAGGCATATGTAGTCTGGTGTGGCCTTCTTTCCTGTTGCTCTTTCAGGATTAGTTGTATTAATTATATTTTCTTATTATGTGTCATTTTAGGAGGAGGTCTCTGTGTCTCCTCTCATGCCACCATCTTTAATCCCTCTCGGATCCTATTATTTTCTATTTTAATTTTTATTAAATAATGTGCCTTGGTTAAAGAAAATCAAACAAGTTTGTTAGGCTTTCAAGAAACAGCAACTATCTTTGTTGGAGCCCCACTTTTTCCTCTCCTAGAGATAATGACTTTCCATTTTATGTGTTTTTTTTCCACCCAACATTTACCTTCCTTTTTAAATAATAAGGTTAAATCATTTTTTCTCAATGTGTATTTTCAGCTGTTGACTTTCTTCTGTGAAATGTATTTTGATCTTTTGTTGACATAAATTATGGTTAGTCCCCCCACCTGGAACCATCCTTTCCGTAGTCCTTATTCTCTTTCGCTCCTTTCTGACGCAGTGTTCTTGGGTTCTATGCAGTGGTCATCCTTGGATCTCCCTTCACATCATCCTGGGAACTCGAAAGATGAAATTCTTTATTAGAATGCTTTAATCTCTTTTTCTTTTTTTAATGTCTAAATTCTTAGCATTCTAGGCTTTGCTTAAAAATCGCCACCTCAGAGAATGTCTTCCTTACTCCCCATTTCAAGGTTGGTAATGCTTATTATCAGCTATATAGTACCCTATTTGGTTTCTTTTTAGCATTTGTGAAAGTGTGAAAGTATGAATGAGTATTGTTATATTTTCATTTGTCTCTTTTTGTCCTTCCCTCTTCTTGGGACAAGACTAAGTCTCATGAGGAGAGGACTGTTACTTGTATCAGTCACTCTTACTTACATTAATTACTGCTTAGCATATAGAGTGCTCAACAAATGTCAAATGAAGGCATTTATGATAACTTCTAGACACAATGAAGATTTAAATGGCGTGAGTTATGTTATCTTGTTGGACTTCATTTGTCTAGCATAGAGTTGGCGAACTGTGGTCTGGTGTGCCAAATCTTGTCAACTGCTTGTTTTTGGAAACATGGCCATGCTCACTTGTTTGCCGTATTGTCTGTTGTTTTTTTCAAGATGCAGCAACAGTGCTGCTGAGTTATAAAAGAGATTATTTGGCCTGCAAACCTAAAATATTTGCTTTATGACCCAGTATAGAAAAGTTTGCTGACCTCTGATCTTGTACAATGGAACATGTTACATTAGAAGACTTATTTGGGCCATTAGCCAATCTTTTTTTTTTGGTATAATTTCTCTTCTTGATTTAACTGTAGATTCCTTTCATAGTATTTACATATTGTGTGTGCAATGGCAGTATGTCATTCAGTGTCCAATCAGGGAGGTAAAGAAAGGATTTAATAAAGAGAAGATATTACACAAATGTTGAAGGTTTAAGAGCAAAGAGGGAACTTGGAGGCCACCCAGAGATGATGGTGGTGACAGTGAGGACAACTACTGCAGGAAGCAGCCAATCTCCCCTAAGGCTGGGGAAACAAAATATGAAATAGGATTGCTTAGAGGTGGGCCCTATGAAGGAAGCGAAGAAGAATGCTGCCTGGCTACTGCTGGTACCTGTGAAAGCAGTACTGTGAGATTGGTTCTTGGAAGCTGGAGACTGGAGTCAGTGCTGCTGCTGAGTGATGCTTTTAGACACAGCATCATCTTTGGTCTCCTCTTGCTTTCTGGTCTTAGAGTGCTATGTAGGCACTGAAGGAAGACCTTTATAGGAAGCTAGCAGACATGAACAATGTAGCTTGCAGAGTCCCAGCCCCAGCATCATGTTGCATAGAACAGAGGGTAGTTTTGAATTTGAGAGACAACACTAGAATAACTAACAGTGTGTCTTCCTTTTTTCTTCTCAAATTAACCCTGTTAAAAATCTCTTCTTAAGTTCAAATTAGTCATTAATTAGATTAACCAAGATTTATTTTCTTTGGTGAAAACAAAAAATAATTATCTGAAATATTTACATTTGTAAACCCCGGCTTTTTTGTTGTTGAAGTTTTAATACTGGTTTAATACTGGTTTAAAGTTTTAATACTGTTATTGGCTTTAATACTGGTTTATCATTATTTATTTCTAATATTAATTTTTCTACTTTCAGTATCTGATATAGAAGGTGGTGATGGACTGCAGCTCAGAAAGGAACATACTCTCAAAATATTTGCTTATATCAATTCCTGGACACAGAGGTATGCATCTTTAAGTCTTGAATTTTGAAGTCTAACTTTGCGAGTTGTATTTTCAGTTCTTATTGTCATCAGACTTTCCTTCTAGGATGTTGGGTTGTAAACTTAGTTCATTAAATGACAGTTCATCAACATTTATTAAGTCTTCCCGTCTTCTTACTCATGGGGCCATTCATTGTTTTGTTTTTAAAACATGAGGGTAAAAATTGGTTTCTTTCTTTAACCCATCCTTCATTGTTTTGAAATATGGGAGTGATTGAAATTCTAAAAATAATCATTTTGAGGGATTAAAGAATTGTTATGGCATAGCTGGAGAACTGTGACAAACAATCCTTTAAAAAATCAGTATTATGGTAAGGATACTTTGACTCTTCTGGAAGCCACTTGCTATTTGTTTCTTTTCCATAATAATTATGCTTATTAGTCCAATGTTTAAATAATACATATATTGATAATATAGAGAACAAAATTTTAAGGAACATAATCATTATTATAGCCAACATTAGTAAGAAGGATTTGCAAATTCCTGTTGCTCAGTATGGTGTTAGCTGGCTATAGCTAAAAATTCTCACATGTGTGTCTATTCCTTTTAAACTTCTTAGACCTTCTAAAATTTTTATGGTTAAAGAATGTTGGAAGCATTATGTGTATTGACTATTGCACATGTTAAATACAGTCATAACATTAATAAATACCCTGAGGCACACAGTCTAGCTAATAATACAGCCTATCAGAATAATTTAATTTCAAATATCATTTGCTCTATAATAATACCTGCTTGTGTATTTTTTCTTTCTCTCTGTCAATAAAATTGGTACATATGTTTGTTCTAAAAAAGATTGTAGATTTTAGTTATTTCAAACTTACGTGCCATTAGTATTGGTATCTCTTCTGAGTCTCAACCAGTTGAATTTTTTTTTAAGGAAATGTAGCAGTGGTTCCTGTTCCTCTATTTATGGTAGAATAGATAATTGGATATTTCATAATACTACTATGGTAATGGTATAAGATTAACTTTAATAGTGTAAAGAATTTGCTGAATAGTAATCAAGACAATTTGGTACTTGCACAAGAGCAGACCCATAGATCAATGAAACAGAATAGAGAGCCCAGGTATAAACCCAAACAAACACGGTCAGTTAATATATGATAAAGGAGCCATGCATATACATTGGGGAAATGACAGCCTCTTCAACAGCTGGTGTTGGCAAAACTGGACAGCTACATGTAAGAGAATGAAACTGGATTATTGTCTAACCCCATACACAAAAGTAAATTTGAAATGGATCAAAGACCTGAATGTAAGTCATGAAACCATAAAACTCTTAGAATAAAACAAAGGCAAAAAAGGCAAAAATCTCTTGGACAAAAACATGAGCAACTTCTTCATGAACACATTTCCTCAGGCAAGGGAAACAAAAGCAAAAATGAACAAATGGGACTACATCAAACTAAAAAAGCTTCTGTACAGCAAAGGACATCATCAGTAAAATAAAAAGACATCCTACAGTATGGGAGAATATATTTGTAAATGACATCTCTGATGAGGGTTTAACATCCAAAATATATAAAGACTCATACACCTCAACAGCCAAAAAAGAAATAACCTGATTAAAAAATGGGCAGAGGATATCAACAGACAGTTATCCAAAGAAGAAATTCAGATGGCCAGCAGGCACATGAAAAGATGCTCCATGTCCGTAATCATCAGAGAAATGCAAATTAAAACCACAATGAGATATCACCTCACACCAGTTAGGATGGCCAGCATCCAAAAGGCAAGCAACAACAAATGCTGGTGAGGATTCGGAGAAAGGGGAACCCTCCTACAATGGTAGTGGGAATGTAAAGTAGTTCAACCATTGTGGAAAGTAATATGGAGGTTCCTCAAAAAACTAAAAATAGAAATATTATTGGACCCAGGAGTTCATTCCACTCTTAGGAATGTACCCAAAGGATAGAAGATCTCAGATTCAAAAAGACATATGCACCCCATGTTTATCACAGCATTATTTACAATAGTCAAGATACAGAAGAAACCTAAGTGCCCATCAGTAGATAAATAGATGAAGAAGGTATGGTACATGTACACAATGGAATATTATTCAGCCATAAGAAGAAAACAAATCCTACTGTTTGCAACAACATGGGTGAAGTTAGAGGGTATTATGCTCAGTGAAATAAGCTAGGCGGAGAAAGACAAGTAACCAAATGATTTCCCTCATTTATGGAGTACCACAATGAAGCAAAACTGAAGGAACAAAACAGCAGTGGACTCACAGACTTCCAAGAAGGGACTAGCAGATACCAAAGGGGAGGGTGGGTGGGGAGGGAGGAGAAGGGAATTGAGGGGTATTATGATTGATACACATGGTGTGGGGGGTTCACAGGAAAGACAGTGTAGCACAGAGAAGACAAGTAGTGACTCTGTGTGGCATCTTACTACACTGATAGACAATGACTTCAATGCGGTATGGAAGGGGAACTTGATAATATGGGTGATTGTAGTAACCACAATGTGTTTTCATGTGAAATCATCAAAGAGTATATCAGTGATATCTTTTTTTTTTTGGAAGCATTATGTGTATTGCTTCAACAATCTCAGCTGTCATTTAGTCTCTGAGAGAACAGTCCTCAGTGGTTCCTCATTATAGTGCCATTTGTATAGTGCAGCATTTCTTTTTTTTTTTTTTGAAGAACATTATGTTTACTAGGGTCCCCCCTTCACCAAGTCCCCCCCACAAACCCCATTACAGTCACTGTCCATCAGCGTAGTAAGATGCTGTAGAATCACTACTTGTCTTCTCTGTGCTGCACAGCCCTCCCTGCGCCCCACCCCCACATTATACATGCTAATCATAATGCCCCCTTCCTTCCCCCCACCCCTTATCCCTCCCTTCCCACCCATCCTTCCCAGTCCCTTTCTCTTTGGTAACTGTTAGTCCATTCTTGGGTTCTGTGATTCTGCTGCTGTTTTGTTTCTTCAGTTTTCTCTTTGTTCTTATACTCCACATACGAGTGAAATCATTTGGTACTTGTCTTCACTGAGAATAATACCCTCTAGTTCCATCCATGTTGTTGCAAATGGTAGGATTTGTT